ACCGCGGGGAGAGGTGGAGAAGGTTTTCCTAGTTGGTCCTTTGGATCTGTGGGGTGGGAAAGCTGTAAAGGGGGCAGGTATTGAATGCAGTCATTTTTCCTGGAGCCTGCCCGAGGATGCTGAGTAGCTGGGGAGAAATCTACTGACCCAGTCACGTCATTTAAAATGAGAGAATAGGGAAGAAACTGTTTGGCATGATGAGGATAATTAAAAAAGCTAGTAAAGCCAAGCTGATTATATGGCGTATTATAAAACAATACTGTACTTAGGAGCCGAGCTATAAAACTGCTATCTCATTCCTTGATATCACTTGTGGGAGCATTTGTGGCACTAAGGGCCTGAGTCTCTCTTGCTTTGCCTATTTTGCAGTCATTTACAGCACCGCAAAGTGGATGTAAAATGCTATCAGCTGGGTAAGCGCGTGGCAAATGCAGACTTGGCAGCATTTTATAGCTACTTTGCACAGCTCTAAAAGGTGACACAAGGTGCAAGCGAAAAACAGTCGCGCCTGAGGTGTCCCCACGTTGCACTTGGGCAGAGCAGTGCCTTGAAGTGCGGCGATGCGTTCTTGTGCACAACGGTGAGATGGGTTTTACAGGGGTCAAAATGAAGCGGTATATTTTATTCCTTGCCCCTTTTTGCTTTGCAGATGAGGACGATGCAAACAGGCTTGGAGAGAAGGTGATTCTCCGGGAACAAGTGAAAGAGCTTTTCAATGAAAAATACGGTGAGTTTCCCATCTGCACACATAGCAAAGTGAGTTTGTTTTTGCTGACAGCAGCCGTAGTTAAAATTAATTACACCGAAGACCTCTATTTATAGGACAAGTGCACAGCAGCCTGCTGCAGCACAGGTATCTTCTCACTGCTTCACGTTACAGCTTGTCCCTAGGGATGTTCCCACGTCTCAGTGCTGACGGTTGGGACCGTGACCTTCTCGTTGACAGCTCCTCTTTGAAGAGGGGAGGGAGGAAGGAAAAAGGCACCCAAGGAATAGGATTTGTTCAGTCCGGCATCAACCTTGAGCACGTTTTTAACATGTCCTGAGCCAGAGCAAGCAGCGGTGCATGCGCTGAACGTGCCGGCCGTGCGCAGAGCTCCTGGCAGGCAGCTTCTCCCACCCGCTCTGCCTCTTGGCCGCAGAGCGGGATAAAGCCCAGCGCAACGTGTGCAGAGATGGGGCACGGTGTCTGCTGGAGCTGCAGCAGAAAAGCAGGTCAAGACACTGAAGAAGATTTGAAAATGTGATTCTGAGGCTCCCCGTGCGCCTAGTGG